CACCGACGTGGCCAAGGATGCAACGAATAGCTTCGATGTCACGTGCTTGGGCTGCCTGCCGTTAAAGGATAAGGTGACCAGTCTGCAGGGTCTGCAGGAGCCACTGCGTCAGCTTTATCTGGCTGAGGTTACGAAGAAGGTCAGTGAGAGATCTGTAAATCAGAATTTTAGCAAATACCTGTATTTAATTGATCTTTGTAGAAGTTAAAATCAGGATCTTTGGATATTTGCGCAACCGGATTGCGCATTAAGATCAGCGGCATGTCCAGCACGAGCAGCGAGGATAGCGATTCCAATATTACTCCATTCCATAATATTGCCGTATGGTCTGCGGTAAAGTTTGTCATCTCCGACACGGATGGAGGCGCCGCCTTTCTTCCGCTCATTACCGATCCTGATAACATTGACAAGACTGCACTATTCCAGCCTCTAAGGTGAGCAGAAGCACAATCATAGAAACCCTTCTATAATCTTCCGGAGGGTATTAGAAATTACGTATTTGCCTTCGAACCTTTCAAGTATATACATATATTCTTGATCAGCATCAACAGTTGCGATATTGCCGTGTCCGACTGTCTTGTTATAGAGCTGACTAATCGGTCGAAAATGAAGTTATAGTATAAAAAACATTATTATTTTTCAAGATATCTTAACCAGATATAAGGCGTGTATGAGAAAAATCGTTTTCACATAGCTTTTTAGGCAAAATAGTTCAAATAAAAAGAGTTTTTGCATGGGATACTCTTCTATTGATGAAATCATATCGAATCGTATTATATGACGCCAAAGGAAGTTGTTGGCACAGATGATGTTCTTTTTGTTCCTCTTGACTGAAGAAACTCTTAACTATCTATTTGGCAGCGCCAGTGAGCAGTTGGCTGTGGAGCAAAGCGAGCACATGCATGCGCCCATATTTGCGGTGGTCATGCGCTCGGCCAATGCGCCAAAGATTCTGGAATGCCACGGGTTCATTTGCAAGAGCACCGAGGATGCGATTGTCATCGCGGCCACGCTCTATCAGAGTCTCATGGCGCATGTGAGCACCAATTCGCACCGGAGCACCAAGCGACGCACGCCGCGGCAGCAGAATGGCGTCAGCTGCATCAGCATTGCCAGCAGCTCGGCAATGACCAGCTCGAACTATTTGTCAAGATCGCAGATTGCGCCCAGCGTTTGTGGCCGTCGGAGCTCCTTTCGCAGCAGCGGCGGCAGCTTGGCGGGCATGAGTCCCAAGCAAATGGGCGTGGCGGGCTCAACGCCGTCACGATCGGCACGCAAGAAGCGCGTCTCGAGCAGCTCGCTCAGCTCCAACAGCAACGTGATCAACGAGGCAGCCGAGATTGAGACCTCAACGGAGGAGCGCAAACGCAAATCGCACAAGACCAAGCGGGCGCCGCCAGTGCCGGCTCCAAACGTGGGCGGCTACAAAAGCAGCTCGGGCCGCAGCAACAGCATTGTGTGCACCAACGGACATGTGAATCGACTAAATCACCAGCACGCACACCCAAAGCAACCCACAACGCCTACACCAAATGGCAATGCAAGTGGCCGCAAATTGAGCGACCTGGTGGGTGCTGGCGCTGTGGCAGCCGCCGGCGATGGGGACATACTGACGCGTGTGGCCATACCCAGATCGGGCAGTTTTCTGAACACCGGCGGCCTGACCAGGTACAAGTCGAGAGCGGCGCGTCGCACCAACTCGGGCAAACTGGGCGGTGGCGGAGGGTGAGTATTTATACTAACCAGCGGGGCCAGCGGCAGCTGTGCATCCAAAGCAACAGCTGGCGCTGGCCTGTGGCTTGGCCTAACATAGTTAGCATCCTTGGTGAAAAGGTTTGGTTTGGTTGATTGGCATCATTTGAATTGTGCTTCTAGTTCCCCACTTGGTTTCAGCGAACTGTTCAATGAATTTCGACTGCACGAGAATCTGCACTCGCTAGACGATATACTCTATGCCATAATCGATGCCGATGGCATGTCCTTCAACGATCTGAAGCCCATCTACAAAGAGTTCCTGCTGAAGCTGGCAGTTACGCTCACACAGGACGAGCTCTTTCAGCGCTCCAAGAACATTATGCGACGCCAGAAGAAGAAGAAACAGAAACGCAAGGCCAGCATAAATGGCTCACAGGTGAGATGCTCTAGATGACTCACTCTTAAGCTCGACATAAACTCAAACGGCTGCCTTACAGAAGAAACCGAAGAGCATCTTCTTTGGCACCAAGAGCCTGAAGAAGGTCTTTCAGCTGGGACAGTTTCGCGCCTGCCGTGGCAAGTTGGCCAAGCCGGCGCGTGCCAAGGAACCACAAGCGAACAACGAGGACTCCAACAAGCTCAGACTGACGCCGCCCATCATAATTGGCCCGCCAACCAGCCAAAGTCATGCGCAGCAGCAGCATCAACGCAATCGCGCTGCCACCAGCGGCTCGGATGTGTCTGTGGTGCGCAACGAGCATGCGCTGCAGGGACTCAACCGGAACAGCAGCAGTGGGTGAGCACATGCTTGAGGATACCTCAAATTTGAATGTCTAGTAATTATTTTTCAAATGCCAACAGCTACGTCTCGTGTTCCGAGTGCAGCTACGATTCCGAATCGTGCACCTGCGCCTCAGCCGATCGCTGCTATTGCAGCCTGCGCACGGAGCATTTGAACCACAAGCTGCGCCAGAAGAACGAGCGCAACATGGCCATGGGCAACGCTCGCAAGCCGGCAGCAGGCAATCGTCATTCGCTGATTTCGTGCAAGTCCGATGAGAAGTGCTACTGTTCCATGGTGGAGGAGGAGCCGAATAGCACACTCGAGCACGACTCGGCCAATGCACATTCGGACACCACCACCTGGTGCGATTCGGACAGCTGCATCAGCGCCAGCAAATGCTACTGCAAGCGCACGCATCGCCGACAGCGTGCCAATGCAGCAGCCGCTGCAGCAGCAGCAGCAGCAGCAGCACTGTCAGCGAGGATTCACTCAATCAACAGCACAAGTCGCGTACGTCCACTCGCAAGCCAAAGTCCGCAGAGAAGCTGGGCTTGGATTATGAACTCTTTACGATCGGGGGCAACAGCAAGCCGGTGCAGCCGCACGAGGCGCTCAGTGTGAAGAAGAGCGTCGAGGCGGCCGCTGTCTTTGCGGACATGAAACTTAGTCAGACGACGGACATCAAGAGCCTCTGTCCGCCGATGAACAGCCAGAAGTCTTCCATTGTGCGTGCCAGCAATGGCAGCTGCCATTCGAAGGCATCCACGCGACGTTCCTTGTATCGATCACGCGAATCCTTTAGCACGGATCGTCTGGGCCATGGCAATGGTAATGGCATGGTCATACCGCTATCCCTGCCGCTGCACATGACCTCCAGTGTCGCCTCACAGAAATCCTGCAGCGCCGACGATCTGTTGATCAATATCAAAGCCCTGGAGAGTGCCGCCTCGATACGCAGCAATGTCAGCAGAAGCCGCATGGCGAGCTATCAATCAATGCGAGTGGTCAGTGCCTCGCTCGAGGATTCGCTGGGGTATTTGCCATAGAATTTGAATAGAATACTCAAATCCCTTAGTTAGCTTCAACTCACACATATACACAGCATATACATATACATATACACATACATATACACATACATATACATATACATATACATATACATATATATGTATGAGTACTTTATAAGAATCTTTTCTAACTATAATGACAGCTTATGTTTCCCAAGATAATTGAAGCTGATCTGTTAATTATCTTGCGAAACGTAATCATTTATTAATATTATTACAATTTTATACTACCTAGTTATAAGTTATAACGATCGCGTGAATTTATCCCTTAAGACTTGCAATTTCAACTTAAACAAGGTGCAATACGAATACCATTATAACAATATATTATCCTAGATTTCAACGCAGTGCAATATTTATTAAGCTTGAAATAAAAACGAACTTATATGACATTTTTTATTTTTTAGTTGTCAACTTGCCTTGGTATAGTATTTTAGTACAGTACGTCCTCATTAATACGGACACTTGCTAATTAACAAAAAACAAACAAGAAGGATGGGACTACGATCATCCAAATTTGTATCTATTATACTGCACTTTTGAGCATTTTTATTGCGGACTATGTTTTATATATTTGGATCAGCTGGATCCTTTACATAATATATATTTTTCTAAAATTGAGCAATTATTGAAGGATTTTTTTTATGTATATCTAAAACCCATTAAGACACCGATGAGTAATTCTCCTGGTAATAGGAAAGTGCATCGATGTTTAAGAAAGAAATATTTATTGATGATACGATTGAAGTAGAAGTTTCCAATATTTACACTAAGAGAGTGAGATAATAAATATACTTAAGGGGGTCGGAACTACATCTGCCTGTCGCAGTACAGGGTATAGTTATGCAGAAAAAGAGGACTGTCCAATACATGTTAAAAATTCAATTGATGTCTAAATATGTTTCAAAACATTTTTTAGCAGATTAAACAAAGAAAAGTGATTAATCATTAAGCCTTAAAATATACATATATTATTAAACATTTTTAAAAATCCCTGAGCAGTGTCTGCTTGCCTATTTCGATAAGCAACTCGGGACTTGGGACACTGTCTGGTTTTTGACTGTCCGCTTTATCGAGATCATACTGCATTACATCATCATAAAAAGGACCGTTGTTGTTAGCTGTAAAAGCATGGCATGACGTATTGTTGTCAAATAATTTCTATTATTTTGAGGCACTGTAATCTCAACTAATCACCACAAGGTCAGTGTCAGGTCGCCAAAAAACAAAAAAAAAGCGAAACGTGTACACTGGAAGCAGATGTTGATTTGGCGCTCGCCTCGCATGGCTCAGCGGAACCGTTGCCAGCACGGGTCAATCTCGACGCGCAATGATAAGATTACGGGTGAGTGAGTATGTGTGTGTGTCTGGTGTACCAGCTGTTAGAGATTGATTTCACCCACCGGAGATATCATGGCAAGTGGATTCGCTACTAAATTTTATTTCAGTTTGATCTGCTGGCCAGTGCTAAACACTCGAAATGACAACCTCGGCTGATAGCGTGTTCTTAACCCGATCGGAAGGCATCTCCGCGGAAGGAGTGCGGGACCAGTATGCCGATGGCAAGGCTGCTAAGGTCTGGGAGATATTCATTGGTGATAAGAACTCCCGCACTGACAACTACAAGAACTTCCTGGTAGATTTGCTGCGCCAGAAGGGCTGCAAACGCATCCTGGATGTGGCATGCGGCACGGGGTAAGCCGCACAAATCGCATCGAGTCTTTATACACATTAATAAATAACAAATATTGTTATGATTCATACCAGCGTTGACTCTATAATGCTGCTGGAGGAGGGCTTCGAGGTGGTGTCCGTTGATGCTTCGGACAAAATGCTGAAATATGCGCTGAAAGAGCGCTGGAATCGTCGCAAGGAAGCTGCCTTCGACCAATGGAGTGAGTTACTAAGCAATATATATTTTTAGCCAGGTCTGATCTAGTTTTCGTACAGCTATTGAGGAGGCCAATTGGCTGACGTTGTTCGACGATATTCGGGAGCATCGTCGGGAAGGTTTCGATGCGGTCATTTGCCTGGGCAATTCCTTTGCCCATTTAATGGACAGCTTTGGCGATCAGCGCGAGCACAAACAGGCGATCAAGAACTTTGAGAAATGCCTGAAGCCAGGCGGCATACTGCTGATCGATCATCGCAACTATGACAACATCCTCGAGACAGGCGCCACGCCAGCCAAGAGCATTTACTACAACGTAAGTTTCACACTTTCATCGTGGCGCCAATTAAAAACAATTAAACAACACATTTCATTGACTTGGGCTTACAACATGCGCAGTCACCGTTTCACTGATAACTTATTTAAAGTCACTTAAAATATAGGAAAAAATCAGCATCATCATCGACATCATCAACACAGTTTTAATCGCCCTTTGGAATGACATTCATATTGAATTGTATTTTTTTAGACAAGCCATACGGCGGACATCAAAACATCCGTTTTATTCTATTGTGGCAAGGCAGCTCTGGTCTCCATGGACTACCAGATCGAAGGCAATAAGCTGGCCAGCGAGTTCCGTCTCTCCTATTATCCGCATGAGCTCAAGCGTTTCACGGAGATCCTTAGAGAAATCTTTGGTAGCCAGGCTAAGCACAAGCTGTACGGCGACTTCAAGGATATGAATGTTGTGCAGAATCCGGCATTCTACATACATCTGATTGAGAAGCCTAGCGTTTAAGTAACATCATAATGTATTGCCACTGTGGACACTTTTTCGTATTTTCACACACAAATACAATATTAATTCTGTTTAGAGAAAGTTTCCGTTATTTCATTTTATTATTTACATTGTTTCATTGAATATATGTATTCCGTTTAGGTCAGTATTAAATATCTGCTGATTATAGCGCCAAAGCAGAGCGACACCATCAGCACCTCGATCACAAAGGGTGAGTTTGTCTTGATGTAGTTGGACATCTGTTTACAGATTGATGCCAATCTGGCCAAAATTACCGATGTCATTTCCAAGAGGTACGCTCGCAACCGATGGCAGGCCGTGGAATGCGACTGAAACGCAAAAACATATTTAAATTCACCTATATAAGCATATACATACATACGAACCATTCATTAGCTATGCGAAATTCATTTTCGCTTTCGAGGTTCAATATACCTATACACTACAACTATGCATATATAAGTATATACCCGAGTCTAAAGAGGCCCCTCAATAAAACAGACCCCGTTTGCTCTGAGTTGCCCAAAAGAACCTTGTCTTTCTGTTTTTGCAGCCCTCAAGAGTACTCAGTATCTCACGGTCCAACCCAGGGAATATGTGGAATTAGTTGCTTTTATTTCTCTTTGACGGCGTCATTGTCGTCAGCAAGCCCATTCCCGATGTTTATTCGATTTTTCTATTTACATCGGCCTTTTTTTTCCGTCTATTACGGATTTCATGCATGCGCAGCAAAATCTACAAATTAAAAATTCAAAACAAATTACTAAAATTAAATATTATATTAAGCAAATTTAATTACAGAAACTGTCTGAAGGACAAATCAGGATCAAAAGTGCGTTCAATCATAAAAATAAGCTCAGTTTTCTGAAAGTTATGGGAATGTGTAATATAAAAAGGACGTATAATAAGGGATTTGAAGGCTCTACATTTTATAATTTTAGCATTAGACCACGCAAGAAACTCTTTGAATTTAAATTTGTAGACCAATTTTACTGTTTGGAATCGTTTAAAAACAATTATCTGGTAAAATGGAAATGATTTTCAATGAAAAATAAATTTGAGTAAAAAGTATTATCAGTATAATCAATCTCCAAGACACATCGTGTTCAAAATGTAAAAGCTCAGAAAAAGCCTTTGTCCCAGAAAATCAACTTTTACACAAATACTACAAGGTTGCTTTAATTTTAAACAAAAGCACACATACAAAATTAACTTATTTGATGTTTACGATAGGTTCATAGGCCAATAATCTTATTTATTCGCTTCACATCAGTTATCTGACGATCAATCTCACTGGACAGCTGAGTAAGGATCTCCGTAATGGTGCGTCGCTGTTTCTCTGGCAGCTCGTAGACGTTGTTCTTTGCCATCTCTTGGGACTTGGCAATGTGGTAGCGTTGCTTGTTGAACGTATTCTTAGCCGTGTCCAAGGCAGCTGCCATGCTTTTGGTGGCCTTGTTGATGCGTGCCACTTCCAAGGCAAACTCACGCTCAGCTAAAACGCTATTCGGCAGCACTGCATTGGCGTCCTGCATCAGCTTTTGGCAACGGCGCATCAGGATTTCTTGATTATCGCTGATTTCTTCGAAGCGTTCCGCAAGCTTGTGCGCACGCTCGCTTATGATTTCTCGTTCTTTCTCCAGGCTCTTTATCTCCTGCAGCTGCTGTTGTTTCTGCAGCTTAATACAGTTTATGCGCTTGGCGAACTCCACGCGCACCAGCTCGTGTCGCTTGAGGTATTGAGAGCGCAGCACCTCTATGGCCTGGTTGAGCAGCTCGTAGCGCTCATGTGCAGAAGACGATGCCATCTTGTCGGCCAGAATCGGTTGACTCACGCTACGCATCAGCAATGCTTTGATTGTGTCCGTAAACGAAGGACCCTCACCCTGCTGACCAAGCACATCATCTGTAGCTGTGCGCTGCAACTGTTGCTTGGTGGTAACCAGCAATTGTGAATCGATGACCAGCTTAAGGCTAATTACTTGACCGCTGCTCAGCAACAGCACGAGTCCAGCTGGCATTTGCATCAGGGCGATGCCAAAGACAGCATTGACGCGATCACTTGAATCGAACTTAGTGCACAAAATATATTCGGCGCTGGAGGGTGTCGATAATACCAGCTGATCGTCTTCGGCCTCACTATCCAAAAAGCGCTGCAGCTCAGATATGAAGTTAACAGTTATAGAGTGAAGTCCAGCATTGTGATACGCAAAATAACGCATCTCGTTGATCAGATCTCGTTTCAGGTGGATGGGGCAGCTATAGGCACCGTTTGTATCGTTAGCACTTCCCGAGGAGAGGCCCAACTCAAGTTCAACGGTTTCAGTAACGTGCAAGGTCCACTCTGATGGCTCGATGATCAAGCATTCATCCACGTCGCTGAACGAGTGCTCTTTAGTCTCCGACTCCAGCAAAAGCGCATGATGCAGCTTACCCGTTGACTCGGCAATGATCACAGTGGGCGGTAACGATGGTATGATAAGCAAAGCACACGACTCTAGGCCATAGTTGGCGCTCGTCTGCGGTGTTATGGTGATGGGACCCTGCAAACGCGTTATTTCCGAATCGATGCCTGCGGGCATCATATATATATTGCCATTCTCACGCAAAATAACAATGGGCCACTCCACCTTCTCCTTGCTCGTCTTGGCAGCAGACTGCGTTTTGTTGTGTGTGGTAGAGAGGCTAGTGCTTGGTTCATCGTTGGCGCTAGATTTAACAGCGGGCGCAATATCAAAGTCAACGGAAGTTTCACCAAAATCCGAGAGAGATGTATTTGCACCAGTTTTGACTGTGTGCGGGCCAACCTTCCACACATGGCGCAGCTTTGCATGATTGTACACGCGCATTGTGTTGTTGGAAAGCAGCACCAACAACGTGGAGTCAGAGACGGAGTCGGGATGCCAACGCAACTGACGCACCTCCAGTTGAGGATTGTTTTGAAACAGCAGCGCATCCAGATTGTATGTGCGGCACGTGATTTGCGGCTTGCCATCCATGAAACAGCCGTCCGGCCCACTGCGGCGTGGTACATCCAATATTGTCACACCTCGCGGTCCACTCAGCGCTACAAGCGAACCCTCATGGGAGACCACAACACGATCGACATTCAGACCAATTGAGTTGGATGGTATGAGTGTCTGGTAGCTGACTTTGGCACTCTTTGGTTCCGTCTGAAGCAACGCTACGCGCCAATTTGTGACCAGCAAGCAGGAATCGCTTGAGTTCCATGCGTACAATAGATCATCTTTGCAATCAAGTAGGTTCTGAGTTTGCGGCACAATCGGTAGGCCATTTCGTAATTTGGCAAACAACTCCGTTTTATTCAATTCCAAGACATCTGTCAGCGACATTGCAGCACAATTGAAAAAATATTTACAATTATATTACAGCCGGCAATATGACAACAAATATCGATATTTCACGCTTTGCGATAACTATTATTATGTAGTGCAGCGCCTGAAAATAGTGTTGTATAGCACTGAAACTATCGATAAGTGCGCCATCATTTGAAACCAATTTATGTGGTGTTTCTATTTAAGCACGAACTTTGTCAATAGGATAAAAATAACATTTCTGAATCCAATCAAAGTGAAAGATAAACTTTATTAAATAAAAATACATTTAAAGTCAAAAACACCATGTACTTAACAACGGAAATACCAACAAAAAAAACATTTTTCAATATAACTGAATTCTCTTGTACTTATGAAGAGGATCAAAGGCCATACACCTAATTCTGTTTTTACACGGTCATTTTTACACGGTTTTGATTTAACACGGTTTGAAAATAAACAAATTTAAAATTTTTTTACACGATATCTTTTCTGTAATATTTTCATATCACAAATTTGGTGGATTCCCTTTTTGTGCATACAAGCAAATTTACTTATCAAAGAAATTTTTGATATTTTGTGAACATATTATATATGTGATTTAATAAAATAAACAAGAATACTTGCTCTTTAAAAATCCTTGTTTTTTACTTATTTTATTAGGTCTTAGAGATAAGAAACCAATCACCTATTTTTGCATACGATCAATGTCTCTTTTAACACGGATTTTTCTGAAACCAATCTACCGTGTAAAAACAGAATGAGGTGTATATTCATAACAATTATTTACTCATATTTACATAATGTAAGAAAATAACATAAGCATATAGAATAATAGCATAAGCTATCAAGTTCTCCTTTGTAGCTTCAGTAGCGGCACTGTCTTAAGTTTTATAGTTATATCCTCAACAAAATAAAGATCTTCAAATTTAAAACTAGTTGAGAATTTGTAGTTCCTTAGCAATTTCGCCAACGTAATTTTTGCAGATATCAAAGCATATCTCCAGCCTAAAAGTAGAATCATTATATGACGAATAAGTCTTAATTATAGTGTATTAAGTAAATGTACATTTACCTATGCAATTCCGAATGCCCTTTGTGAAAGGTATAAATGCGTATGGATGCTTATTTTGGTAATGATGGGGCAGAAAGTGTTCCGGATCGAATGTTTCCGCGTCCTCACCCCAAATTTTCTTACTGCGATGCAGGTGAAATATATCGATGGCAATTTGAACACCCTTTGGAACAACAACTCCGCTTGAAAGCAATACGTCCTGGGACGTTTGCCGAGAGACGACTGGAACAGGCGGTATCACTCTCATCGATTCGTTTAGAATAAGATCCAAATAGACCATTTCCTGTGTATCCGCGTAGGTTACCTCAAAGTCTCCAGGGTCGGGAAACAAAGCGAGAATCTCCTCAAATGCTTTCTCCTGGTATTTGGGAAACATCGAAAGTAGAATTAATGTGTAGGCAACCGTGTTGGCAGTTGTTTCAAAAGCTCCAAAAACAATAACATTTGATTCATCTTCCACGTTTTTCCAGCTGAAGATGCCACGTTTCAGCAAATCAGTTGCTAGGTTTAAAAATATGTTTTTTTCCAAGGGGGAAGGATTACCATTTTCAGCAATTTCTGCGTCTCTAGCCAGTTTTCTTTCTATTAGCTGAAACATAAAGCGGGCTGTTCATTTCCATAAAATTGTAGTGAATGCTTGTACTACCTTTCTGATAAACCCACGTATCTCCGACTTGGCGCTCGAGTAGCGCTCCTCCTTGCCGAATAGTTGGCGTACCGTTTTACTACTAAGCCATGGCGAAAAGCACATATCTGTCATAGTTTCCAAAACACTATTAATGGATAGCAAAACTCATTTGTGCAGATGGCCGATATTACTTACCATTGATAATCCTCGAGCAGCCGATTGTTGTTAATGCCCCCATCCAACTTCACATTACTTCCCATTGTGGTTTCTGTACTTAATAAAAACAAAATGCACATATATTTATAGGGAGCTCCAACTATAGCGAGGCCATATCAAATGCAACGACTTGCTTGTGTCCAGCTTTTTTATTCTCAACTCACGCGTTGCTATGCCCAAGGTAAAATATTGCAGAAACGGTATCAAATCCTTTTCGCCATCATCCACTAATGTGTCGAATAGCTTGAGAAGAGCTTTTGTCTCGTTGTTGAAAATGGGCAGAAAACTAAGCAACACTTTGTGTCCAAATGCCGGATTCAGTAGCTTACGATGTACGCTCCAGCGAGGATCTGGACAAGAGTCTGGGTATTTTCTCATTTAGAGCCATTGTAACGCTTTGCATACCTGTCAAGCTGAATAATCCCAAGCCAGCGCCATCATCGACGGCCTTGTAGATGATGCCCTTGTTGATGCAATGCGGTGATGTGAATATATCCTGTATAATTTGTGGATCGCTCACTATCATAAATGGTATGGGACCCAGCCAAGAAAAAATAGTGGGTCCATGCTTATCCAAATAGAAACCAAATTCTTTCAGCACATCTGAGAAAACACACATATTGCTTGTTAGAATCCACGTAAAATTCCTCAAACAACCACGTACTTTCCCTGCGAAGCAGCTTATGTGCCATGCCAATTATTGGATAGCCCTGTGGGCCAGGTATCTTAAGCGTTAATAGATAGAATCTGCGACGCGTCCACAAGAAATAGAACCACGATACGAACATCAGAGCGCACCACAATTGCCACGTCAACATATTGAGCTATCCCAAAGGTGTCAAAATAAATCACTTGGAGCCTTGATTGTCTCTCTACCGATCGAGCAACCGAGCGTTTGAAAGCGCGTCAATACTATAATTACAAATTTTTGTGTGCACCCACTTTTTATATGCCGGACGCTGAGACTATTTTGGGGCCCAAGAGATATGCGTGTATTGTCACGGATTGGCTCGTGACTTGACCGAGTCCCAGTCGAAAAAACTCGGCTAGAAAACGTCGCAATCATATAGACGTTGTATGGAAATGGACGAGGTGCGGGTACGCATCAATGAACCCAACATATCAAGTAATTTTTTATTGTGATTTATCGATGAGTGCCTGCATACAAATTGCTATAATTTGAACTAATGGGTAACAGTAACCAGCCAAAATACACTACGAGTCTAATCGACTCGGCTTATACGTCATCAATTGACCAATTCCAGTCAGGTGCCAGCGTAAATAAGTGGACTTGTGTAAGCTTTCATGGAGGTATATTCGTTATATCCACTGTCATATGTCTATTGTGGTTCGCGTAATACAGTTTGTTTCTGGTTTATAGTTCCTGATTTCAATATGCCTTAGAATTATAAACTTCCTTTAGAGAGAACACACACTTTGTCAATTCTAATTTTTACAATTATTGATTTATTTTTCATTTCAAATATGTCTTAGCCTATAGTATACACATTTATGAAAAAATAAGTATTACAACATGTACATAAAGTACACGAGAGTCTCTCCAACAAAAGGTCTATTCAAAATATTTGGACATCGTCCCATATGTACAGTAGTCAAAAATGAATGAACACCTTTCTTTATGCGCTAGATATGCTGTTAGCGATATGATCATAGATTAAAATGGCAGAAAATATTAATGATAAAGTTTTGTGGAATTTTGAGATTTGAGCAGACGACAGCGACTTTGTCTAGGATCCTGGCCTGTCGATGGGTGTCTCTGAAAGTATTACATGTTTATTAAGTTTAATTGATATTATCTTATTCAATCATATACAATCTCCATGCAGTGGTAGATGTGAGCCAATAAATAAAGCATTAAAATAAACAAAATATTTAACACAATGTGCAGCAGTAAATTACAAAGCTATGCATATACAAATAAAAATTAAATTAAAGTTGCATTTATTTATTTACAAACGATATTTCGGTGCAACTTACGAGCTACAAAGCACTTAGATTTATATCAATATTATTTCAACAATACAAAAAGTTGTAGATGAATGTGTTCGAATGCGTGTGTTTTGCAATGAAGATGAAAATGTTATTCTGAAAATAAAATGTTTGCACAAAAAATAAACAAATTCAATTATAATTATGTGCATAAAAAATACATATAAGGTGGGTTAAAATGTTCCAAAAAAGAAAACATAAATAAAATACTACGAATATCACATCTTAAAGTAAGTAAATAATTTCTTGAAATTATCTAAAGTTGTGTCTTTAAAGAAATCAATATTTTCTCAAAGCCCGCAGTGAAATATATTTATATTTATATATAAAACGCAAAAGTTCAGTAAATCGAGTACTTATAATGGCGTTTCTTAGAATCTTCTAATGCAGTTAAGGATCTAGAGGTGTGATTAAGCAAAGCAGTGTGGGATGAGATGGGTTTTGAAACGTGTGTGTTAGTCGAGCTACTGGGATGAACGCAAATATCTGTGCAACAGCAGGCAGTAATACTAGTTTGGCGTTCTGAGTACGAACCAGTTGCTGGATCTGTCATATCCAAATGCCCGTTGGCATGCCCATTGACACCATTTGCATCTGTAGTCGAACCCATGAGAGGTGCTTGCAACTTGATAGCTAAAATAAAAGTAGCATCATATTAGCAAAGGTGATAGAAATGTTAGTTACCCTGCGCACCAGTTGTTGAGCCGTTGGATATTGCATATCCATTGGACTTGGCGCCGTTTCCGCTGACTCTTGAGCCCATAAGCGGCGCATTAGACTTCACAGCTGAGAGACAAATCGAATGAGAGTTTTATTAAATTACACATATGGCGTAGGCATATAACTGAATGCCTACCACTCATGCGATAGTCGCCATTGGAGGAGTTTTCAATGTCACTATTTTGCCGAGCCAAAACTCCGTTCGTATCATTGCTAGCGGAGTCATCCTTCACGCAACGCATGAGGAACAACAGCGAAGAGCCGAGCAGTGGCGGCAGTCCAGCTAGTATCAATGGCAGCGTATACGAGCCGGTACGCTCGAATATCATGCCAGCAACAGGCGGGCCAATAGTCAATGGCAGCGAGCAGAGACCCAGCAGAAAGCCAATGGCTTGCGTGGCGCCCGAGGGTCCACAAATCTCATAGGCGATCGGACCAAGCAGCGAGATGAAACAGCCGTCGAATAGGCCCATTATCAAGGCGAAAGACACAAGCACCACATACGAGCTGGTCAGTGGCAGCAACAAGGTGACCAGGCCTATGCAGACCAGCGAAAGCTGCTGCAGGTACATGCGATTGACGCCGGGCATATCAGCTATGACGCCAAATATGAGACGGCCAATGCCCGAGGTAATGCCTATGCACATGACGGGCAAATTGACATCCCTGCCGGGAAAGGAGGTCTCCACAAACTTCATCATGTGCACATAGGGCACAAAGTAGCCAAACAGAGCCAGTGGCACGCACAGGGCCCAGATGACATAGCGCTTCCGTTTCCAGATCTCCACATTGATAATGGAGCGCATGAGTACATTAAGGCGCGAACGGCCATCCTTCTTCTTGGTCGAGTGCAGCGGCAGATGCAGCGGCTTGTACACAAACGAGCAGACTATAATAAATGCCGCCATGAGACTCATCATCTGCGGGTTTAAATGTAGTTAGACAAGTTCAGGTCCATTTGAATAGTAGTTACTTACCCTTAAAGTCGTCTCCAGTCCATAGCTGCCCAGCAGCCAGTCCAGACCGGGTGGCAGTATAACAGTAAACACGCTCGAACCGGCAGTCACAAAGCCGCTCACCTTGCCCAGATAGCGCTTGAAGTAATGCCCCAGTATGGCCAGCGTGGGCGTGTAGGCCAATGCGCCGCCCAGCCCAAACATGATGCCATATGTAAAATACAAGGCGGTGATATTGTCAGAGCTAAATGACGAAAGCAACAGCCCGCCGGATGCGAGCATGCCACCAATGAAGGTGGTCAGCCGGAGGCCAATTTTGTCAGTCAGGCATCCAGCGACTGGTGACAGGAAGAAGGTGGTGCCAATTGCCAAGGAGCCAACCAAAGCTGCAAGCAAAGAAACATTAACACATCGTAATTCCTTTCATTCCTTTCATTTATTACAAAATATAAAAAAAATATGCTTCTAATATATAGGAAAATTCGTACAGAGATCGGAGCACTATATCATATTGCTCACGACCGGTCTTAATTGGTAGGTCTCGGCAATTATGGGCTTAACTGTGATGCCTTTAAATGATAATATGATTTCATATCAAAGTAGCATATTATATTACTTTATCAGATTACTAAATACCGCAGGGCTATTTAATCTTTGACACCTCTACTCTTGTTTTTTCTCTGCGAAACGTTCAATTAACAATAATCGTTACATAAAAGCCGACAAATTGCGTTTAATAAATCGAATCTCACGCAATTGTGGTTAATTGTGAATTGAACTGTTTTTTCCAACCGGCTAGCTCAAGCTGGAACGCTTGAGTGCCGTCAAAGGGGTTTTCAAAACATAATTCGATTGAGCAATTGGTGCGATCGCTGACTCAACGGAGTAGCTATTGGATTTATGAGGGTGTCAAATAGATCTGGGAAAATAACATATGCTTTCTGAGAGAGAATTTTCCTCGATTATTGAACATAATCATTTTTAATCTTCAATTGAACTTTGTCATTTAGTCCATTTGGTTTCAAGCGATGCGTTAAGACACAATTGTTAATCGCACGTGAAAGAGCACCTAACTGACATATTTGGGTTAATTCTTTGTTCAATAAACGCCCTGTTTTGATAAGCGAAAGGCGTGATAATGCACATACAAATGCTCATTAAATCGGGCGACGACATTCCGTAATACCAGATGTAAATAATGCAGCTGTCAACAATAAAAATTAGCTCAAAAGATCAGCAATAATTGTTCACATACTTCCTCATGAGAAATAAACAGCAGATTACATGTAAATATGTAAATATTTATATATTTAATAAGTGCTGCAAATATTGGCCAAAACCGTGCAACACATAAAAGTATCTGCGTCTTGTACAACAACAATATATATTTGAGTTTTTAGACTGCTTGCATGGGCTCATTAACCTAAAATTAGACTTGACCTACATTCAGCTAGAAAACCATGTCCGCAATTTGTCTAGCAACCTATGAAATCAATACCCCACAACAAACACACACACATACACTCACCCACACACGCACACACATGCCACATGCCACATGCACATGCAGCTAGCCGGATATACTCGTGCATTTTGGGCAACTATGGCGGCAACCCGGCAACGAGAACGGGCAAATTCAATGTCAATGCCACAGCCAGACATGAGAGATAGAGAGAGAGAGAGAGAAGAGAGAGAGAGAGAGCGCGAGAGAGAGGCAGTCAATAGCATTTGTGTACATACCTGCACATGCATGCTTGAGAGAGCTTGAGAGAAATAGAGAGGGCGTGCAGGCAACATATTAGATAATACCCGTAAAAATTGTTCTATCTTTCTTTTTGAAACATTGCCAAAGGTCTATAAAAATCAAACTAAACGAAGCTGACGGCAGTAAAAGCCGCATTGCATCAAGTTTTTTTGGCGGGCATGAGAAACAGTTTCATATATCGGACAAAGCATAACAATTGTAATAAAAGTCTAGACAACAATACGATTGTTAGGAGTAAGGGTTGGTTCTTTGCATTTCCCAGTTTTATAACTACAAGGAGGCATGACAATTGTATTACAAGCTGGAAATAAATTGGTAAGTATCAATATACAATGAATATTCTCTGACAAACTTTATTATTTCAACAAAGATCTGGTTTTTACAAATTCAAAGAATGGCATATGCACATAAATAATAAAATTGAATACATTTTTATTCCAGTTCAGATCACATGCCTACAAATTTTTCATATTTAAAAGTTAAATACTTAGTTGACCCTAAGTATTTTAATTAGAATATGTATGGTACAGAAATCTATGAGTTCATTCATGAATTAAATTAGTGACGTCTTTACAGTATATTTTTAAACCCAACCATCGAAAGGTAATTGACTCGTTTAACGATTTAATGAGTAAAATGACATTGCTTATATTTTCATTAAATTTTTATCAATTTAGAGGGGTTATCAGATTCACGTTCAGTTTCTATATTTGTTTTATATTTATATTATATAAGTATTTGTATTTCATTTATGATTAGCAGCTAATGTTTAATTGGAGCATAGAGTGTATATATTACACTATTTTTGTTTAGGGTTCGGCTGTGTAATCCGGGTAAGGGCTTAAGCATATGCTAATTTATTGCAAGCGCGCCAAATGCAAAAGTTGTTCTTATTAATAAGACGCACACCTCGATGCCGGATTAACGGCTTGGATTCGGATTACATGAAGCTTGAATCATATGGCGGAACTTAATCCACTCAACCAAGTCAGTGGCTAGAGCAGCAATAACCGCGACCCAACGCCAGAGGATCGCTGTCAAGCGCCGCCACTTGCGGGGCTTCCCGAGCCGTTTGGCAGCGCCAGTCTACCAAGTAACTGGGTCAGTGGCATGCGGCATGCGGCATGCGCAATTGTGTCCATTATGCTAGCCGGCCGTCTTTGGTAGCGGCTTTTGTCTTTGGCCAACTGCATTTGGTCTTCTTTGAAAGCATCGTTCCAATCGCGTTCTACGCGGCGTATGCGCGATGCCGCCGAGCAATGGACAAACCTTGACAAACAAATCTTAAATCAATTGAACTTTCTGTTTGCTTTTTCCAGAGACGTAACCAGTTCCTCGACTATGGTTCACCGGGTGTGTGTGTGTGTGCGTGTATTTGTGTGTAGCACGCAAAATTATTCCCAGCAAACGACCTTTTGCCTCTCCTCAATTTTGAACTCTCATCGACTCCAGCGACTTGACATCGTCATTGCCGGCTCGGTGTTGAATAACGTTTTGTGATTCAATAAACTTTCAGCAATTTAATTCACTTGACTTCGCACATACATGCATACATAAATACATCCATACACATACGTTGCATGCACACATAGCACTTACATGTGCCAAGTTTTATTGAACTCACGATATAAAAGAACATCGCTTTAGATCGTATGTCCGTAGCTATTCCAACACTTAAAAAAAACATTCCATCAAATAACATGCCAAAACTTGTGACACTGTCAAACCAATTGGGAATCAATATGTATACCTAAACATTGCAGACATGCGATTCAATTGGACACTCTTCACAGAGCATATCCGAAAGAAAAATATCAAATTTTCGCTGTTGGACCGAAAATCGATCGCATAACTGTGATATGATCTGCCTAAAGCTAAAATTTGATTTTAGCATGTGGATATAATACCTCAACCAACAACATGAGCAGGTTGTCTGTCTATATATTTTAAGGACCGCCCAGCTCTATCATCCGCATACTTTGCTTCTAAGTCTTGCTAGCCTCAATCCACAGCTCAAATCTATAACCCATTGGGAATTATAAGCAGCGCCAGAGCGACACAGCCAGAAAAACCAAGGCCTTATATTAGGTATACTCTCTGTAAGTACATTTAATTATTATAGAGAGCCAAGACCGTCGAATAGAACTTGGCATCGAACTGTCATTTTGTTGCAGTCTGTCTATAAGCAAATCGAGCTACTACATCACATATGTTGCTGATAAAGGGAAAGCCCCAGTAAAAGTAAATAAAACATACTTATTGTGATCATTAACAAATTCTTATAAAAATCGGTCTACTAAAATACATCACTCGAGAAACAACAAGGCTATAAATATATACGTCTGCTATTCATTTGTAAGTGTGTAAAACCATTAACATTGATAACTTTTCTCTTACATTAGATTTGTACGCAAATCTTTGGTTATCTAAATTTGATTGAAGACAATTGATTGAAATTAGTATTTTTAATACCCTGAAACAGTGAACACAGTGAAAATCTCAAAAAGGGCTATGATGGTTTTGTGTAAAGGTATGTAAAAGGCAGAAAGAGGCATCACTGATCCCATAAAGTACCTGTTTATGATCAGGACGAAGTCTGCTCGTCTGCTACAAAAGCTAGTGACTTGAAATTTGAAATATATATTCTCTTTTATCATTTTTTGTCGCCAGCTCGCCTATCATTACTCAAAAATGATGAGAGCTAAATGCACCAAACTTAGTTTGTAGGTTCGTATAGACAGATTAATAATATTTTACTTGTTAGATAACTTCTCCATTCCCCCCAAATATGAATAATATATTAGCTATAGCTGCTTAAGATGCCGGATCACAAGCTTTGCAGCTCGCGCCGTTTGTATTCGTGAGTAACAGCTCAATCAAGGTTCAGGGTATCTACCAGTCGAGCTTTTTCGATAAGAGACCTCTTACTTGCTTTACAAATAAAAACGAATTAAGATTTGTTTAGCTTTACAAACGAATTCTATTGGAAATCAACAAAATCTAGTAGTATATCGCAAACAATTTTACATACTGCCCGATAACGTTTTATTGAAATTTTCGTATACAAATGCAATTCTCCCTGCATATAATATACTGAAATCCGGCTATGAGCTCAGAGCTCTTATCAATATTTTCATGCATATAGTATGTATGTATGGTCATAAATCTCTACACATTTATGTGTAAATGTAGTCCAAGTAATTAATATGCATTCGAATTGCTGTCAACTCGATGGGAAAAACAAGTGTTCAGTTCCCAACTAATCTGTTTTGGTTTTCTGACTAATTGCTATCAATCGAGGACTGTCACGATTTCCAAATCAATTTGCCTTTGGCCCTGCTCTGAAGGGATTAGGCCCGTGTGCAAATTGTTTGCGCCCCTCCACCCCCTCCCCAGCCTGTTATTGAATGGGCATAGTGAGCAGGTTCCAGCCAGGGCTGTAAGCCCGGAAAATATGTTTGGTTTTTGGTTCATGGTTTGAAGTAATGCCTCGCGGACATCTATGAACCAGGATCTTGGTTCAAAACTTGGCTTTTCACATTTATCTATTTAGTTTAGTTCTGGTTTGGGTGTATCTGCTACTGATCCGGTTAAAGTTACAGCTTATGGTAATAAAAACATTTGAATTCCGGGTTCAAACCGGTTCATCGCACTTACCCGCTTTGCTGTTTGCCTCCGCATCGCCCTGCGCCGTCAGCCGCTCCGTTAGCAGCTTATGCAGCACGCCGTATGTGTTGATGAGGCCAAAGATGACGCCGTTGCATAGGAACGCACTGACCATTACCAGCCAGGCCCTCGCACCGCCATCCGGCGGCTCCTTGCCGTGTATATCTCGACAGCAGGGCGCCTCGATGTGTGCTTGGACGCCATTCGCCTGGCTCTTGCCGTTGGCTGTGGCTCTGTGCAGCTGCCCGTTGTTGGCCAACGCTGCGTGTCCATTGCCAAATTGCTCGGCACTGACAATACGACCATTTGGCTGGCTGGCTGACTCGTCGAGGGGCTCGTTCTCGGCCATTACTGCGGCTGGATGTCAAAGCGTGCGGTTTCTGAAATTTCAACTGATTACAACACGCCTCGCCTCTGGCACTATCTACGATATGATCCGTCTATGCGGTTTATGGCTAAGCAGCGCAAGTTGAACGGGTTCTCAAACAGTTGCTGAACCGTAAACCGTCGCGATTTTAGATTTAATTGAAATTATCATTATTTGCACGGCGCATTTCCAACTATAATTGAGACTTTTCTGATGCAATGGTATTTATAGTATTCCGGTGCTCGAAAGCATTTGATGGTACAGAAATCGACGGAAATGCGACAATCAATAAATGAAGGAATTTAAAATTTAATTGTTTTAAGTAAGTATTATTTCTACATACGAATACTTTGTTATATAAGAATACTATATCTTTATGTTTCTACGTGTTTATGTATTGTATACTTTTTTTATTATACCCATGCAATCTATCAGTTTTTTTTTTTTTCATACTTTTAGAAAATGGAATAGGTCACGTTTGAATTTAACACGCAGAACAAGAATATCTATACATTCTAATAGTTCCATCTAGTTTTTTGGTTAATAGGAGCTAGAATTCAACAAATTAACATTTTATCGAATAGTATACACAGATCAAGAACTTTACATTATTTAATACCTTCTCCCATATCCCTACTAGTAGAAGACTCTCAATTTTTGGTATGTGAAGATACATAAATTCCTTCTTTAAACTCTTAAAATTTCATAAAGATCTGGCAATAAACCAGAAGTTATCTAAGAAAGTTTTTCTAGAAACAAGTACGGAGCGTGTTTTTACGTGTTTCTGCGTCTGTTTTCGTTATATCTAGGAGCAAGTGCTAACATGCAGCTGAGTCCAGGGTATCTTGCAGTTGTTTCCTACCAGCGCATTTACAACTTTCAAAGATAATGTCTTGAAATTTACAAGTTTAGACGAACGAATGACGTATTAGGCATCGCTTGGAAACCAATAGAGATTAGGTCTTTAAAAGGATAAATGCGCAGAATATCAGCATTTAGTTATTATATAGTTCATATTTTGAACTAACACATAGAACACCGACTTATTTAAATAGTGAAGTTTAATGGCCATGGCTAATGGAATTTTCTACACATTCGACTATTTAAACACAGATACTAATGTAAGCCTACACATATAAATATAAGTGTTAAGACAATCGTGTCAGCAAAAATGTCATCTTTTAACACGACCACAAGAAATGTTTTTATCAATAATTACTTTTGGCTGGCATTACAAGCCAAACGAAAAGTTAAAACTATGCAAAAATAATTTGCCCACAACAATGCCAAAGTCAACGACGCGACACAAACAGCTACATTTTCAATGATATGCGAGCTCAACAAAGTTGTAAAATCTGTTCATATTTCGGTTTCTGTTTGCACCCATTTGGAAGGGAGCATTATCAGGGCGCACGTGTCCGCCGAAGCGCCAAAATGTGCGTTTCAGGGGGGTCACAATAAAAAATCAAAGGTAGCTCGCGATTACGCAATAAACTAACTAGATATGCTTGATGTAACTAGATGAGTGTGTATTTAGTTTGGAAACTTTTGCCTTACAGCGTATGTAAATGCACTCGAACTTTATGTTGAACGTTTTGTTGTTGATCCCCTTGGGCACTGTACGGCGCGTTTCGCCGCCACTGGATGTCAAGACGTAGACTTTTTGATAGCCGCCAACGAATCGAAAACCACACACAACCGAGCGCTTGCGTTGCCGGCAACGGAATGAAAAATAATTCAATTATTTTCTACGAGCAGTTTTTTTTTTTTTTTTCGCAAAAATTTGTCACTTACTCACGAGGCGCCTAATCGGAGACGGCGGACCAAGCACACACACACGCACAACACACACAGCACACACAGACACCGTGAGATTGCGAGCATTCTCTGTAGTAAACAAAAAACAATCGACGGTTGCTTCGGCTTTTGCGGTAACGTTGGCAACGGCCGCGCGAAAACAAAACATTGCCAAAGCAGACAAACGCATTCCAATCAGACGAAATATTCCCTACTCTATGAACTGGGATGCATTCGTTATTTTTAGTCAAATCACATGATCAATTGGTGTTCCTAACATATCAATAAATTGTGGCGATTTTTTGCGGCCAAAAAGGTTCAATTAATTTCAATTCCCAGAATTAGAAACTGAAGTTTATTGTCCACGGACAACACTGAGACATGTTATTTTTTTTGTATATTATAAATTGACCATATCCGTTGTGGCAGCCACACATCAAAGTAGTCCCCCCAGCATTAGCAGACATTTCAACTCAATAAGATGAGTCCGATTGAAGCATTTGTGGCGTCTTCCTTTGAAAAAATCCACACACAATGCGAATACGCAAAGTGGTTTTGAGTTTTATGTATTTCGCACAAACGTGTCTACCATATAATATGCTATAATATAAATATATTCGATTTAAAAGTAAAATTTCAAACTTACGTGTTAGTGGAAGATTCATTTTAGTTATAAGTATAATACTAAGAATTGAGCTTTTTAAACAGTCGTTCTTCAATTCACAGGCGCCGCCTCAATGGACATGGCCGTGGGCAGCGCGCAGGGCGGCTGATCTACAATTAGCTTAAAGTGCTTATCAGGCCAATCGAATTCCAGACGCTGTGTGGGTTCCGTTTTGCCATCCAGTTGTGCATTGCGAAATGCCTCCATCATGCGTGGCACCAGATCATTTGGTATGAGCACCTGTATCCAATAGCCAAGTACGCCAAAGGGCTCGCTAACGGTGACGGCGGCTCCCGTTACAGTTTCTGCGACCAGGGTCAAGGCCAGATGCTGTGCTTTAAATGTGAAATGCCGGCCATGACGTATGCGATCCTAAAAAAGCAAAGATATTAATCTTGATACACTGTAGCCCACAAATATCTCAGGTCTACCTTTATGGCCAGCAGCAAGTACTTGGCCGCATAGGGTGCCAGCGTTATTTCAATGCCATCCAGCGATATGCAATCGGGCGCCTGTGGCTGATAGTCCAGCGGGCATGATTTATGCAACGAGTTGCTGCTCATCGACATGGACTGTGGAAAACTGGGTTCCTCGCGCTTCATTTGTGATTCAGTCAACTGCCGATTATTCTCCTCACTGGCGCAGCGCTCGTTCAGGCACCGAAAGTCCACCTCCTCTTTAATAGTTGTGGTTGGCTTGAGCTCACGAAACGTAAACTCTGCATTGACGCCAGCCAGGTCGGAGCCCTGTTTCTCTAGGTCGTCTTGCAGATTAAGCAATGTCTCGGGAAACAATTCGAATACGCTCATTGTTCGCTGCATATTGGTAACCAGCCAATCGCCGCCTGTCTGCACGTCTTTAGACAAAAAATTCAAGACGCCACGACCGTTCCAGCGTGAAGCCTGTTCCAGTTCCTCCTCGGTTACGCCGACTATCTGACAAAAGTCCACAGTGCCAAAGGGCGTGTCAATTGAACCCAGTTGTGGATCCTGTGCCACCAGCAGGCTTTGCATGCGCGAATTGGCGCTGCCGTCCAAACCCTTGCGCCAAGGGATGTTGTCGCCGAAGCACAGACCGTTGCCAGTTTGGAAACAGTAGCGCGCAATAGATTGCAGCAGATTTGCAGGCCAGGTGGGTGGCCTGAGCGGTTTTTCTGGGCATTCCTGTTGCTGGCGTAGCTCCGCGTCAGTCTTAGCCAGTCGAAAAGTCAGCTCAAAACCCATGCCCGAACGGGTGGTGTGCTCCTCTTTGAGATGGACGCGCTGATCGCCGTGCAAGTCGCTGAGCCCGAAGCTAACATAATGCCAGTGCGGGGGTATTCTCTCTGATTCGCCCTCGCCCTGGCCCCTGTTGCTGTACATGCTTATATAGTCGAGCGGATCGGAGCCACCTAGCCAGTATTTCAGCAGTGTCGTCACCTGCAAGGGGTTCGGCTGATCCGGATACACAGATATCAGGTGATCAATGAGAGACTTCAATCCAGGCGGTGGCTTCAGCTCTGGATTCTTTTCTGAATTTGTGGGTGCAGCCATAATAAAACGTTCGTGTTAAAACAAAAAAAAATAAACATAAATCATCGATGACCCGCTCGATAGTATCGATACACACAATAGATACTCAGCTTAGTATTTTTAGTTGACTGTTTATTTGGTATTATTACCCATGCACAACGCGGTCACACTGCACACGACACCGCGATTTAATAGGAAAATTTTGCAAAACTTTTATAAACGCACAAAATGGAGCCCTATGATGTCGTAGTCAATCAGCCTGTGGTCATAGATAACGTAAGTGGAACCTAGCATAGAACATCAAATAAAGCCCAACTCAGGCAGTTGCCACATAAGCTGTCAACCTTTTTGGCACTGACAAGTGACATCACCAACTAACACGAATAAGCCAAGCTGCCACTGCCCGTCCCTTTGTCCGTGAAGTTTTTTTTAACAGCATTTCAACTGTTTATGTATGCAACTGTGAAGAATGACTAATGGCCAAAAGCTTGATTTTTTAATACAATTTACTGAAAGTGCCCAAAAAATTTAGCATCGAAAATATTTAGAGTGAGAAAATAATGATAATGGAGTTGCAGTTAACGTTTGAACACCGTTGACGAGTTCCTTGAGAAGTGGGCATCTATGCGTATGCTTCCGTCCAGATACATGCGCTGACTACATTTCTCCGGATACACCACCGGCTGGCGTTCTTTAACCCAATAGCCGGGTTCAATTAAAGCCTCATAATTGCGATCTGGCTTGATGCCACAATTCTCGTGGTATTGGGCAAATAGACTCGGCCGCTGCATCTTATTAAACGGATCACGATAGTAATCCCTGTATTGTTGACAAGCCAAGTAGAAATAATCAAGTTCCTCCATAACCCTGTAGTTGACGCACGAAAGTCCAATGGGCGGCACAAATTTCAAGATCGGTTTGCGCTGAATACGTAAACTCTTTGACACACCCAGCATGTCAACCTGGGGAATAGTTCGGGAGCCCATGCTCTGCTCTGTATTTAAATTAATGAAAGCAGAAAAAATAACAAAATGAACAACTTGTGTGTTGTGTGTACAAAAAATATATATGAATGCCTGTTACAAATATTAAATGAATACTTTTACAGGGCTCCGGTGTGATCAAAGCCGGCTTTGCTGGCGAGCACATTCCAAAGTGCAGGTTTCCCAATTAGTAAGTATTGCTACAGCATAATGCAAGTCCGAACCAAGCTAATCATGCCATTTCCCTAGCATTGGCAGACCGAAGCATGTTCGGGTAATGGCCGGTGCCTTGGAGGGCGACATTTTTGTTGGTCCCAAGGCGGAAGAGCATCGCGGTTTGCTAAGCATACGTTATCCCATGGAGCATGGCATTGTGACGGACTGGAACGATATGGAACGCATATGGAGTTATATATATAGTAAAGTACGTTAAGATAGCTTCTAAATCAACAGTTACTCATTTCTGTACGCTTATCACAGGAACAATTAGCCACTTTTACGGAGGATCATCCAGTTCTTCTCACTGAAGCACCATTGAATCCGCGTCGTAATCGCGAAAAGGCCGCTGAATTCTTCTTTGAAGGCATTAATGCTCCAGCGCTCTTTGTCTCGATGCAGGCAGTACTCAGTCTGTAAGAAATCTGATATCTCAATACACATGAAACATTTCTAACTTTGAATATCATCAGTTATGCCACTGGTCGTGTCACGGGCGTTGTGCTGGACTCTGGTGACGGTGTGACGCATGCAGTTCCCATCTATGAGGGATTCGCCATGCCTCACAGTATTATGCGTGTGGACATCGCCGGCCGGGACGTTACGCGCTACCTGAAAACACTCATACGCCGAGAGGGCTTTAATTTCCGTTCAACAGCCGAGTTTGAGATTGTGCGATCGATCAAGGAGAAGGTCTGCTACTTGGCGACCAATCCACAAAAGGAGGAAGCTGTGGAGACTGAAAAGTTTGCATATAAATTGCCAGATGGCAAGACATTCGAAATTGGACAGGCTCGCTTCCGTGCGCCCGAGGTGCTCTTCCGACCAGATTTATTGGGCGAGGAGTGCGAAGGAATACACGATGTGCTAATGTATTCCATTGAAAAGTCGGATATGGATCTCAGAAAAATGCTCTATCAAAACATTGTACTGTCGGGTGGTTCAACGCTTTTCAAAGGTTTCGGTGATCGTTTACTTTCCGAACTGAGAAAGCACTCTGCAAAGGATCTGAAAATCAGGGTAATTGGATTAATAACATAATGCAATTGTATATTGTATATTAAAATATGTTTATGATTCTGCCTAGATTGCTGCGCCACAGGAACGCCTGTATTCCACATGGATGGGTGGCTCAATTCTGGCATCGCTGGATACCTTTAAAAAGATGTGGGTATCGAAGCGAGAGTTCGAAGAGGAGGGGCAACGTGCCGTGCACAGAAAGACTTTCTAGTTTGTTTAATTCATTTAAACGCTATGTGTAAAAGGCTTATTAAACTCTGTATCAAAACCATGTGTCAGCTAACATCAAATATCCCTACAAATTGAAATTCAAATAATTTTGCATGTATGTGTTATGCATAAAATAGGCGCAAAGTATTTAAAAATGCTATTTATTGAATTTGCTTTCGCGGCATTGATAATAAAGACTAAACTCTAAAAACAATTGATTAAAATCGATATCAAATGCAGCCAGAATTGAATGTTTGCCAGTGGGCAATTAATAGACCCATACATTAGTCATACGTAATGCCATATCTGAGCCGTTTATTCAATTGGTCAGTTGCGAAGAGCTCTCTCGTTCAGCTGAGCTCATGGATGACGCGCAAGTTGATTTCAGTTGGTTTTCGGTTGTTTATACGTTCGGTTGTGTCTCGAGCAACCATCTCCATGGCAACGGCTATACAAGTTTCTGTTCGAGCTGCAAATATTTGTCACGGACTGTGAAAAACAACTGAATTGTATATTTTGACATTCGCAAACGCATCGACGTGGAACCGCATTGAATACTTAACAATGGCTCAACTGGAGGGGCGAGTCATCGAAACGGAGGCAAGTTCAAATATTATGTACAGATTGATAAGCTCGAAGACTAGATTATAGTCAGACTTGACTTTTCACATACTATACCTATTTTTATACTCAAACTAGAAAGAAAATCCTGTGCATCTCGCACAAATATTTCTACAATTGTTATTTCTGTTGCAATTGCTGTTCGTGCACCTTAATGATACCTGTTCGCCTTGTGTATACACATGCACACATAGGTGTGTGTATGTCTCTGCATAGATATTCATGCATATATAAATGTATATATAGGGTATTGTCTACAATTCAGATGTGCTGTGCGAATAAAATATTTATTCCTGGCAGGCGTGTGTCAGTTTATTGATTTTATAATTTACAAAACAATTACAAATGGGGCACGTGTAGAGAATTATGGAAATATGCATTTATTTTTGTCCTTGACTGTATTACTGTCTATTTGTTATTGTAAATGCTTCAAATTTGCGACAAGGAAGTTTTCATTAAACATTTGACCCCCCCTCCCACTGCCCCTCACAGATTTTCAATTGAATACGTTTCCCGTGCAAAGCCGGGTAATTCTTATTAGTATTATACTCATAGTTAAGCATAGCAATTAATTTAGTTGATATGCCATTTGTTTCTTGCAGAAAGCTGTAAAGAATGCATGGCAGGTGCGATATTGTTGTTGTTTTGTTCGATTAAAACTAACTAACTAACTAATAGATGCTGTCCCTATCCTTGTACCCATTACAGCAGCATTTATTTGCACTTTTAGCTAATTGTGTTGAGTTGATAGCTGGGTATATCAGCTAGGCACAACATGTATCAGAAGAATTGCAAAGATAAGGAATGTTAAAAATTCGAGCAAGAGTAGATTCATTTCACAGCTAGCTCGAGTCTTGAGGGGAACATACATATCTCTAAAGATGGTCTCAGCTGTGTGTAAACGTATTGAGAATTTCATTTTGAATTATTGCAGCTAACCTGTCCATTCTTTTTGATGCACATTTCCAGATGAAAGCCATGGATGCCAATCGCTATGCGACCAAAAAAACTATAGCCCAGGGCATGCTGGATATAGCCTTGCTGACGGCGAACGCATCCCAGCTGAAATATATACTTCAGGTCGGGGAACAGCATCAGTTCTACAAGCTAATGCTCATACTCATAAGCTTGTCAATCGTAATGCAGGTAAATAGTCAATTTTTGTTTGATTTTCTTGGTATTGGGGTTGTAACGGCTCGTTCTCCAATGTCATAGATACTGTCGGGCGTATTAAGCCTGTCGCTCAGTTTATTGCGGGATTGCCGAATGCATCAGCCAGAGTTCCATCAATCGGCCAATGTGATCAATCATGTGCGCACAGGTTTTGCGTTTTTTACCACAATGATAAATCTTTTCATATCGGCCTTTGATAGTCGCCTGCCCCCGCCACAGGGCAATCTTCTGAACGATGTCAATTAAATTTGTATATCTAGAGTTAACGAAACTATATCAAATTAATAACAGATCCCATCCGTTGAGCGATGTGTGCTGAAAAATGTGGGAAAATTCGTTGCTCTCTAAAAACAATCTCAATTTTAATTTCAACAGCTATTGGTCGGTATTATGTTTGTGGCCATCGGCAGTCTGAATATTAACAAGCAGCAAGACCAGACGGCAGCCATAATATTGAACGATGTGATATTGGTGGTCATCTTTGTAATATCCGTTGTGAATGTTATAATATCTGGTTTCGGCATCGAGTATTCTTCGCAGCCTCTAAGACTCATCGATCAGCATGCTAAAGTACCGTAGTTATAGTACAAAGTAGGCTTAAAAATCAATGATGATAAGTAATTTGTAAAACAGCATTATATATTGCAGAATATTTTGTAAGATTTCTAATAAATAATAAAAGCGGTATATAAATATCATTATCTTTCTTTTTTATACTTTTTATATGCAGGTGGCTGCAGGAGTCTTACTAGTTGTTCAATCTCTTGTCAGCATTGCCAAGTCGCAGAATCGTTCAATACTTTTTACAGTCAATCATTTTGTGGATGCCTTCATATTTTTATCTGTGTTCTGTGATATTATAAAAATGAATTTTGGCTTGGATCCAGCTATACCCTACAAAGTTCATGAAGTTGAAGTTTTCAAAACCTAATTTCGATGTTGTAATCAGAAGCCTTTTGAAATTTCAAAATATATAAGCTTTTAGATATAAGAATCTTAAGTCCCTTTTCTATGCAAGTTTTAAGTATTTGAAATCAAGAACTTTAATACTGCGTTTTATTAAATTGGTATGTACACACTGACAGCAACAGCACGGCAACACTGTTGACGGCGACAGCTGTAAAGTTATCGATAGTCGATAGAGAAAATATTTATTTTCAGCAGCGTCTAATAGTTTTCTTTTTGGCGGTATTAGTTTTGTTCTTAAGGTTTTTTAGGAAGCCAGAGCTATACAAAGAATTTGTTTTTATGCTTATTCGCTGAGCTATAAACCCAAAATGTCCGACGATGATTGTGATATTTTTGATTTGCCTGTTAAACGGATAAATGGTAAGTGTAGCGTATTTGGCGTTAATTTAAAACTCATCTGGACGATTCGACTTGCAGCTGCCCCTCAAAAACAGTTTGTGGAGGAGCAGGAGTCCAGGCAAACGGACTATGATTTTATTAAAAGCGATCAGGTCGCCAAGAAACCAACAAAAGTCACAAAGCCCAAGTCCAAGGCGAGAGCGGGCAATCGAAAAAAGCAAACCGACGAGAAGGAATCCAACAATAATGAAATGAAGGAGGCGCCGGCGCCTGCTGCTCGTGCTGCTCTGTCGCCCGTCTCGCAATTGATTTATGAAATGGAGCAAAAGCAAGACAAAGCTAACGCCAAAGCAATTGATGCTTTGCCAGTTTCCAGGCGCACACGCTCTTCGCTGGGTAAACACCTGCCTACACCAGAGCAAGAGAATGATCAAGAAGCTCCAGTAGCTGTAGAGGTATCTCCTCCAAAGAAACGAAATGTTCGTGCCAGAAAGAGCACAGTGGGTGCAAAAACGAGAAACTCTCAGACAGTAAATATATCTGCGCCCAGTAGAAGTCGGCGGCAGGCAGCTGAGCTTGCAGCACGTTCACGTGTTGTGGATTCCATTGATCTGGTTTCAGCTGTTGTCCCACGCATTGAGGGCTTTGTAAGTGAATCAGCAGTTGTAATATATTCGAGTTGATATTAACATAGCGTCTCTTGAAACTGAAGGTAAACTTAGACTCGGACGAGGAGGATTCCCACGTGGCCCTGGCAGAAGAGTCAGTTAAAGCCGCTAATAATTTTGATGATGATAATCCAATAATTCAGATCAATTTAAATTGGTGTGTACTTATATGAAACCCATACGCAAAACATAGCTTAATAAACAATTCTTTTCAGGCTTGGTGAAATGCAACTGTATCAGCTAAGACAACATCAAAAGTTTGCGCACATGTTCAAGGAAGTTTCACAACGCAACGTCGTCCCTATAGATGATATTGTTATAAACATGGACGATCTTTTTATAAGTCCAACGGAGTCGCCGCAAAGCGTGGGCGTGAAAGTCTATCACATATTGAGTGCGTAGAGAATTTAATTAGCATATGAATTAAGCTTTTATTAATTAGTGTCATTTATTTTTATAGGTGGACGCGCTATAAAATCGAATAAAAAGCAAACTGAAGCCAAGCAAGATACTAATCTTATGTTGAAACCTAAGAAATTTCAGCTTAAAGTGCAATGCGATAAGTGGAAGAAACCGTTGATAATACCAATAAAAAAAACGGAACCTTTCAAGATTTTATACATCAAGTGCGCAGAAGAAATGGAATGCGATGTTCAGGGTTTCAAGTTGTTGTATGCATACTATTATTATAACTATAAATACGTTTGTCATTCAATTATCTATTTTTACTTTGCAGTTTTGATGGCGAATTACTGGACCCAGATGATACGCCCAAAAATCAGGATATGGAAGGCAATGAAGTAATTGATTTTTGTTCGAAATAAGAAAAAATACTTTTAAGTTTATTTAAAAATTAAATTAAATATTTATAAGAGCCCAATAGCTTAATACGTATTTAAAGTAATATTCGTAAGTTTTGCTTTTATATTCAGAGAAAAAATACTTTTAAATTTATTTAAAAATTCAATTAAATAATTATAAGAGCCCAATAGCTAAATACGTATTTAAAGTAATATTCATAAGTGTTGCTTTTATATTAAGTTTTCTGTGTAAATATTAAGGTTCGACTAACGAACTTAGGCTATCGTTAAATCTGTAAACAGTGTTTTTTCTAGAGCTAGCAAATAAAATGTTTAAATGGTAACTTTCGGTTCATTAGATAGTTACATTGGTGTCAAGCTGCTGCTGAAATGACAAGCGCTCTTGAAGTAGCGCACATTACAGCGTCCAACACCCTAAGATTTCTTTGCACACCCCTAATATTTTGTTTATCTAGCATAGAGCGTTGCACACTCACACACTAGCCGGAACAAAACAAAATTATTGTTGATATGCGTCTTGGCAGATGATGTTTTGTGGGGTGTGTGCGTGTGTGTGTCCGGGGGTTGGTGTCCCATACTACCGGCTATTGCTCTCAGCATTTCTGGATCTCCCTTGTTTGCCCCAACCCTGTGCAACTTCCCTTGGAATTTCGCTGCACAAATTCTGACACAGGATAATAGCAAAGCTTTCGCGCGCAGCTTTTGCGAGAATACAAATCAGAAGCTCTCTCCTGCTTGGTCAGCTGCCAGTTGGGCGACTCGATGAGCAGAACGAGTTTATCCTTCGTGCTAACTAGTCGCATTTTGTTCGCGTTTGTGCATCAAATAATAATAGGCATAATAATAATATATAAAACAGACGTCGACATTTTGGTTGATTTTTATTTAAGTGAGGCCAAATATAAATTGTGCTGCCGGTGTTTTATGTTTGTACTGTCCTGCGCTTAGTTTAATAAATTATTACAAAGATAACACATATTCTACAGTTTTCCAAGCATATCCAATTATATATATATATATATATATTTTGTGCATTGTTTCAACAACTTGGCGCCCAAAACTGTATGCAAAATAAAATTCTATGCAAACGAAGGATTTTTTTTGCGCATTCAATTTGAACACGGTAAGAGGCCTATTTGCTTACACTTGTTTATGTTTTATTTTTTTTTTTATTTTTTTGTGTTCTTTTGTTCATTGTATTCAGAGTGGATTTTGTATTGTTTGCTGGCTGGCTCGTGGCATTGACAAATGTGTTTATCATGTTGGCTTTGCAACGGGAACAAGTTAATTGACATGCCCCAGACACAAAAGCCAAACAGCCAAACACAGCGAACAGGACCGCACTCCAGCTACTAACCACAGGAGCTGTGCGTACGTGTGTGTGTGTGTGTGTGTGTGTGTCCCTTAATTATTTATGACGATTGTTGGCATTAATATTTGAACATGTGTTAGGCTCATAAGCATGCATATCAAACAGACTTTACCCACAATCGTTTCAGCGATTGAGTACCTTTAGCTGTAGCTGAAGCTAAAAATAAAACGTGACACCTGCTAAAAAAAAGTTACCTAGTGCGTGGTTAAATCCGCTCGAGGTCACTTGTCGCTACCCCAATCATCCACTAACTCTTCTATGGCCATGGCTAATGGCCCACACACAGAACAGAACGTTAAGGGATTCAATCCCAAATAGCACTCTGAGGACTATTCTGATTGCCAGTCATCGAATTGTGTCGATTGGCCTTCTGAATTGAAAAAAAAAAAATTGCATTTGCTCTCCAGACTGCCTTGAGATGTGTGTGTGTGTGTGCTTGTGTGTGTTGTGCATCGTTAAAGCTTTTCCGAAATAAAGCTTTAAAACTGCACCAGATGTGCCCTTTTTTTAATATTTCATTAAAACAAAAACTTGACTCATAACGCTCACTGAGAGCAGGGCTAAAGCGCAATTGCGCTGTGTGAAAATAATCAATTGGTCAAAAACGAAAAGGTAAATACATACACATACACACATACATACATACTAATGTGCATACAGAGTGTTCATGCTTTTGCTCTCTCGCGAGAGCAGCTGTATTGTCTATTCTTCTTTGTGTCGCATTCGTAAACGTTTAGCAAGCAGCTTTGCCTTAAATTTAAATACGCCAATTTTGTTTATATTATATGGTATATAAGCTATTTCAATTATTGGAAGCTTGTCGCAGGGTATCCAACTGAATATCAAAACCAGTTTTTGTTTCTTGCTGTTAGTTTATCCTGTCGCGGCAGACCGGAAGTAACATGGCAAATGACACTTTGGGGCACAATTTGCACACGTGTCGCATAGACTACACACGCACACACAAACAAACACACATATGCAATGCTGACTGCATTGTCTTTTGGGCCTGGGCCGGCCTTCAATGCCGCAAACTTTTTTGTATGCAACAAGCAAAAAGCATAACAAAAAAAAAGAAGAAAACAAGCTGACGCCATTTTGCCATTAATTCTGGCCACTTTATGGCCAGGCAAAAACAAACTTGCGCTAACCGTACGTTGCAAGTGATTGCCATTAAAGGGTATTCGGATTTTCTATTACACTCTGCAGTCTTTCGTTCGCAGTGCAGGGCTGTAAAGCGGTTCGGAACCGGCACGGAACCTTTTTGTAACTCTGCCTTGAACTAAATCTAACGCCCAGTTAGTAGGCATAAACAGTCAAACGCAAGTTTAAATCAAAAATTTCTTGTTTTTAGAAATTTTAGTTTTGCAGTATATAAAAATATAGAAACAGCATTTATTATAAACTGCGGTCGATATTTTTCTTACTCTTAATATTAAAGTGAACCAGTTTTTAAAAATGAACCGTTTAAAGTCAAGTCTGCGACCTGCCCTGAACCAAACCTATTTGAAATCGTAATTTGAAACTCTTAGTTTTAAGCCGAAGCTTAAATTCAATTAATTTTTGTTTAATTATATGTTGTGCTTACATTTTTTCCAGAAAATTTGAAAATTAGATTAAATTAAAACAAAAAAAATATATAGATTAAGTAAATTGAGTTTATAATAAATTGTTTAAATTTATATTAAATTTTTAAAATAAATGTAATGAATTGCATCTAATAAAAATTGTAAGAAAGGCGACGAGCCAAGAGTTGAAATTGGGTTCCTTAATGTGGTCAACCAGGTTCAGGAACCGAATCCAATGCTGAGGCAGTCGGAACCAAAGAGAAACGTTTTTAAAGTTTCGAATTACATTTTCTCTTCGAATTTAACATACCCAAACAATTGGGCAGCGTATTGAAAGTTCGTCACATGTTTTTGTTTTAGCTTCCGTCGTGTTGTTTGCAGAATTCATTTGGACTGTGGCCTTTTGTGTTTTTGGCTTTTTGTGTACTTTGGTTTGCCATAGACCAGGCTTGGGCCGAGTTAACATTGCAATGGCGTTGGCTGCCACCAAGTGCTTTATAGCGTTGTGTTTTAACAAACAGTCCAAAACAATTACCTCGCATCGACTCCTGTGCCAAGTACTGCCGACGAATGGAGTGCTAGCGGACGACTACATTTCCAACTACGTCGCCAGCTTCGACGGCAGCTCCAACTTCCGAACTGCTCCATTTAACATGGTCCGTGCATTGAACTGTTCGCGTGGCGCACCTCTTCGATATTTTTATGCCACTCGCATTACGTATGCGCCCCGTTGTGCGCTTTGTGAACCAGCTCGCAATTATTGCCGGCTCTCCCCATTTATGCCCCAAGGCTATCGAATGCAGCGCATTGTCATTGTTGCCAACGCCGGCTGCTCCTTTTTGCCAACGCTTTATGTTGCCACACAAAGCACTGTGGAGTGTTCCACAACTAAGACAAGCAATAAGTGCTGGACTACAAATGGCAGGCACGACTCTGGCAGGAGGAGGAGCTGCTGGAGTTTGCCTAAGAGCAGTGAGTGCTCTTATTAAAGTTCGTTTTGTTTGCCCCCAAACAATGTCGTCACCGGTCTCCAAAGTGTCGGCAACAGCGGGCCACGGGCTCATTCTGCCAGTCTAAAAAGTTGCAGTCGAGACCATTTTATGAATACATAAACTATATATATATATATATATGCATATTATGGAAGTTGATGCAACAGCAGATTGTAATCTGTGCACACACAGATTCTTTTGCCATTCGCTGCAACAAAAACTAAACGTGTCTTATAACTTTTGGCCATATATTCAAAAGTCTCCGTCTTTTAATATGCAGTTTCCTGCGATGCGGAATGTGTGGCACACAAAAGAAGATATATTTATATTTATGGATATACATATATTATTATTAAGGCAGTTGAGCTTAAGCCTTAAAGCCTCTGTCTGCATTTTCCAGCAGGACTCGAGTGCGGCAAAAATAGGAGAAACAAATATAAATTGATTGACATAAATGAATAATTTACTTAACAAACACATAAATCAACTTAGTGACAACTTTCTTAAAACGTTCAATTAATTTTATGCATTTGGAAAAGAACAAGAGTGCTCTAATCGATTTTGGCTGACTAGGAAATACCCTTTAACTGGGTGCAGTTGCTGTTATAAATATTCGAAATTTCTTTTATAAATACATCCAGACATCCAATAAGCTCGTCTAAGCACTATGCTAAAAAAATCACATTTTAAAATCGATTCTTATCGATTTCGCGTTAATATGGCTAGTTATCGATAACTTTAACTTGATCTGCGCGTCCAAACAGACGGAAGACCAGACTGACGGAAGACTAGGAGACGACGGAGATGGCTCCTCCTGCATAATATGTTTATACCCTGAACCAATTGAAAATGTGTAAAAGGGTATAATAGTTTTGTGCCAATGTATGTAACATATAGTAGGAAGAATTTCCAACATATTGATCAGCGTCAATAGCCGAAGCGATCTAACCATTTCCGTCTGTCTGTCCGTCCGTCCGTCCATCTGTATGAACCCGTCGTTCTCAGAACCTACAATAGAGAGAGGCTTGAAATCTTGAACGTAGGTCCTCCTAGCTGCAGTTGGTGTTGATAGAATAAGGTTCAGGGTATCCCCTAGTCGGTTTAGCTCTAGGCTGAAAAGCTTAGCAATATCTCAAAATCGAAAAAAAAATTGGCATGATTATTGTTCTTATTTTATATAAAAGAATATTTATTGCTTCTAAATATCTTATTACAATTCATTGTGATTAAACTTAATCTAACCTTATCGTTTTTCTTTCTCATAGTTTCCACGATAAAGAACAAAACATATTGTCGCTCTTTTGCAACTGGACCAATTTTAAACAAACAATCTAGAACTCTGCTCACCGACTTATAATCTTATACACCTGTACTCTATAAAGTCATTCTATTGAATACACACACATATCGCCAAAGGACGCACAGAGGACACGGTGCACGAGCTGCTGTGCTGTGATTGCAGCAAAGCCCCATTTCCAACTTCCCCCCGCCCACCTGCTGAGTAAACCCAATCAAGACGGCGCCGCTTAAGCCACAAGCCTACAAATTTGGTCAGATGTTATGTTGTGGCTTCTGTTGTGGCAACATGTCGAAACGGGACTACAAAGTGGCCACCACAGATGGCATCGAGCTGGAGCCGTTGGGAGGCGAAAAGAGCGATAAGGAGAAAGACAAGGACAAGGAGAAGCAAACGAATGGCGTCACCTTTGGTAAGTGACCTACCCAAACCAGTCCAAACCCAACCCAACCCAACCCAACCCAAATCTGCCCGCAACCCATTTGTTTGCATTGCAATAGCTAGCTGCCAAGCAGGGCCATCTCGAGGCCCCTGCACATGATCAAAGCCATCCCGCTGGGCGCTTATGTACAAAGCAAAGTGCATAATTGCACTTGTGCATAATTTGACGCTCCACACGCAGTGTAAAGCTCCTGTTGCCACAGGCGGCTGCCAATTTCGCCCAGCTGCCCCACCTGTCACGTACCCCCAATCCCGCCTGTCAGCCATCAGGTTGTTTTCTTAATTACGCCAAATGCAAAACAAAAGCATTAAAAAATGCGCAAGACAAAATGCCGGCTCGTCCCGCTTCCGTTCCCGAACCCCTCCTCCCAACCCTCTGGCTGGCTGAGCTGTCTGAGCTGTGGCGTTAATTTTGTATCCTGCAGGAAACCGTTAGTCATATGCTCATACGCCCCGTTAGCCAAGCCTGAACCTGCACCAGCCGAGCAGCCGAGCCCAGCCGCAAGTAAATATAATGAATGTCAGCAATGTCTCCGTCTCGCCGTTGCCTTCGCCTGTTGCTGCGGCAATTCTCTACTTCTGATACCCTAGCAGAGGGGACTGTAATTTGCTGACATGTTGTGTAACTCATAGGCGGAGGAATCTGCGGCCCTATGAAGTATATATACATGCTTAATCAGTGTTAAGTGTGGATATTACCATATTCGTATATCTGAGTAAAATTGGCATTGCTTTATATTATTATGGCAGATAATTCATATATCGTAGTCATCTGGATCAGACTACTATATAATATAGCTACCTATAGCAACTATCGATTGACAATAGAATTCTTGTATGGTAAACTTTTTTTTTTCAAGATATCTTCTGAAGAAATCTTTCTCGAGATCTCTTCTCACTTTTTCTTATCTGATATTTCAGACTACTGTATCATATTCACCCCATATAAAGCTAACATCTTATCAACATCGGACAACTATATCATATTTTGCCTTATTAAATCATTTTTTCTTCAACTTATCTTCTCAAACTTGAGTTTCACTGACTAAAATCTTATCAATATCCTATTACTTTATCATATTTTCACATGTCCAAAACCTTTTTGTTCTTCATAATATTCTCGACAAGCTCAGGACCAACCCTTCCCCCTACTCATTTGAAACACTATATCAACTGGCATAAATCGGTCGAATATGGATTTTTGGTATTCAAATCTAGTTGTATTTCTGAATATGAAAATATATTGTAAATATGTCACATATCTGCAAGGGTATTTAATATTTGTCATGTCGACGTGAACTGTGTTATTTTCTTTTTCATTTTTTGTGCATTTTTCTATTAAAGACTACAATCCTCTCATATTTCATTTTTGAATTTTTTGTTTTGCCTGTGTTGTTGCTTTCAAAGATGCCACAATCTAGCTCCTAACCGCGCCCACCACCTCCCCGGGGGGCATTCAGTTGGACACACAAACTTGGAGACACAGACGGACATTTGCAGTCAGGCACGCCTTCAGTTGGCTCAGATTTCAGACATTCAGACGGAATTCTCAGTTTTTGTTTCTTTTAACATTTGCAATGCAGACTTGTGTTTATTTTCGCACGTGTGTGTGTGAGAGTGTGTGTGTGGTAATAGAAAATGTGCCCCGGGGAATATTAATTTTAGATTATGTAGTGCATAAACGTATGCCTGAATAAGCGACACTTTCAAGAAAATGTTTAAAAAACATTAAAGTTAAGAATAAAAGTGACCAAGAAATTTGAGGCCAAATATGACCGCACGATAATTACAGCAGGTACTTAGCAATATTTTAAACTAATACCTTTTGGCCTCTAAATGCGGGCTAGATGATGACTCTAGTTGAGGCCAATTAGCGAGGGAAATGCGTTGAAAGCTTTGGGTGACATCAGGCTTAAAAGGTTTCTGCTAGAGACGTGTCGGAACATTCGTAAGGCAATGCGATACAAAACGAAAAGAACGCATTTTTATATATATATTTTTTTGATATATATGTTTTGAGCCTTACAAATTTGTTCTTTAATTTATATTTATATATTTTTTGTAAGCTTGTGTATTATATTTTTGCTTAAAATTAATAATTTCTACTTGTAAACTTTTATTCCTAACATATATGTTCATTAAATTATATTTATGCTTATAAACAATAATTAATATTAATAATTAATTAGTTAAGTACAACTTCTAGTCTTTACATACATATTTTTCTTGAGGTTTTATTTATTATTATTTTTGTAATTCTGTATTGAAATTTGCTTATATAGCGCGGGTCGTGCGTGTTCGTGTCACGAGAGAAAGCACGCGCCCAACTCTAGCTGGGGGGTTGGCTTGAGTTAGTTAAGCTCGACAGCCTGAGGCCTTTTGGCTCATTTCCTGTTAAGTAAGTGAATGTTAAGCCTGGGGCTGGGGTCGGCAGGTGTATGAATTGATTTTCTCAAACTATTTGCATCGTGCAGACTATTTTATGGAGTCGCCAAACGGAAACTGGCTTCCGCAGGATACGTTAGGACTAACATAAATGCGGGAAAGTCGAGCAGAAGTTTGACAGAAATCGTGGAAAATACATGCTTAAATGCAGATCTCATGCTGAGCCCGGTTAGCCCATCAGAATACTTGATGAATTATTAAACAGTTAGAGGCTGACAGTGCAAACATAATGGAAGTCCCGGCAAGCCGGAATCTTAAGACTACATCAAGCGTGGAACTGCATGTGTCATGATAAAAGCCAATTGGTTTTTATCTGTGCAACAAATCGCGAGCTCTTGGGCACGTGGGCAGACGCGTCAAGGCAACGCCTAAAGTGTGCCACAGGGAGAAATGGGAAAGTGCTCTGTGGCATGGCAACCTATGCAAAATCAGTGTCACGGGAGCAGGACGTGTGCTTGTCGGTGTTGCAATTAAGAATGCACAAACTGGAGTAAGCACTCGAATGACAGCCGCAGGCAGCACGAATGTGCTCAACACTCGAGCAACACGGTTTGTGGCAGCAACAACTGAGTGTCTGTGGCAGCAACTGTTGTTGCTGTCGATGCCTGCTTGTCGCACCTGCTGCCTCTGACGTTTATAATTGCAGGATGCGTTGATGTTGATTGCATTCTGAATGGGCTCACTCGCTCCCACACACACATACTTCAAGCAACTTGACTTAAATAAAGAAGTCCTGCGCATCCCGGCAAAAAAGCAAAAAAATGAAAATATTGTAAGAAAAAATAGTAGCATAAAAATGGGGCTACCAAGAACAATGCAATGTATGTGTGTGTGCGAGTGAAAGTGAAGACATATAGAAATGGATAAAATGTGTTTTTGGGTCAGGCCACTTGAAGCATTGCGAGCAGGAAGTCAACGGAAGGCGATGCAAATGGCAAAGCGATGCGCCGCAGTGCAACAAATTATTTTTGCAAAATGGCGCAAACGAAACAAACACACATACACACACACACACACACACACACACACACTGACACACAGGCAAAAACACAATTAAATGCAACTACAAAGCCCCCCAAGGCGGCCCACGTAATTAAATGGAAAATGCAAAATGCGACTCGCAAAGCCAAGTCTGTCCGTCTGCCCGTGTGTCCGTCTGTCCGTCTGTCCGTCTGCCCGTCCGTCCATCTGCCTGTCAGTCAGGCAGGAAACAACAATGCCTGCCACCGGAGGTGAGGAGAAGTAGCTGGCAACTTGGCTGTGGTCTAGCACACTTTTCGCAGCACTTGAAAGCATTCCAGGCATTCGCTCCTTTTTTACATTTTCTTCATGTTTTTTTTTTTTTTTTTTCAGTCCAATTTCTGCACAATTAGTTGGCAGTTATGTTTGGGCCTTTGGCGGGCTCTGGCTGCCATCGAATGCATTTGTTGCATGCACCAGCTGCCACACACAGTCGAGTACTTGGGCCAAGGATGCCTATGCTGGCAATGGAGACCTTTTGAGTGCTGCTTCAACACGAGCTGCCAATTAATGAAATTATTGAACATTCCACAAATTGACTGCACAAGTGCCCACTGTACTTAGTGAGGGATAGGGGAGGAGGGGACACAGTTCCTTAAGAGCGCAAAACACAAATGAACATTTGTTATTCAAGCGGAAAATTGGCAAAGCAGTCTACTTTGAATAAGCTTTGGTTGTTCGCTATGTCAGCAGACGACTTTAATTTTAAATTAATCATTTTCTTTAAATATTTAAATTATAAAGTTTCCTCAAATTGCGCTGCCTAAGCTCAGTATATCCTTTATAAATATATCATGCACTTTTAAGAGTTATGTCAGTAATTGAGTTCTCAATCAATTATATCTGCAAGACTATATTCGATGATATTAGATAGATCATAAATTGATTCTTGCGAGGCTTCTGTGCAAGCTGTTAATAACATATACATATTATGTTATTGCTTAACATTACAGCTTACGTTAACAGTTCGAACAGTTTTCTCATAACATATTCCTGTAATACGCAGTAGGCATTAGGCATAGGCCATGTTGGGCAGTTGCCAGAGCTTAAAAGGAACACCACTTTAATAAAAATTCTCCGGTTAATCCAACATAGGCAAATATCGATTTGTAGTCCCTATAAGAGCTAGAGGCTTTAAATTTGATAAGTACGCCGTTCTGCACATATTAAAAATATTTCACTTTTCGATTCCTTACCTTATTCAACCCTTAAAGTTCATAAGTACTGGTCTTTGTGTGTCCTTTACTCAAGCAGTCTTGAGTGGACCACTCTTGCTTGCTTTTATAGAATTCTATCTTTTCACTGTTCTACTCTATAAATTGGCTTGGGCGTATTCTTTTTCCGACCCATCATAAAATTATCTTTGACATTATACAAAACCATTGAATGTTATATGAAATCCAGCCCATTTCGAGCTATTTCTATTGTTGTTCTCTTATCGTTCATGTAAACGTAATGAAGTACAGAGATTAACAAGCACTTAATCGAGCAATTACGAGTTTCAAG